TGTTGACATCAGGACTAAAAAAGTCGGCTTGTCCGCTCGTATTGAGGAGTGGCAGCATGTACAGGGCGAGAAAGAAGTGAAGAAACACTCGTCCTTCCAGGCGAGAACATACATTTCAATCGTATCAATTCATCTCTAATCTTTTCAATAATAAATCGTGATAATTTCACTTACCATATTTTCTTGAGTATAGTGCGCAGTCAAATATAATGCACACACCCCCTTTAGCGGATTCAGTATTTTGGAAAAAAAATATAATTAGAATATTATGCGCAGAAAGAAATTAACCATACCCCTTCGGTGAATTCCGGTAAACGAACGGGTGATGAGAAACTTGGTAAGTTCAAATTTGACATGTTGATTTACCCTTTAAATTGTATTTCTTGTCCTGCTAGGCATTGTTTTACATCCAGGGATTAAGAATACCTTGTGTATTTTCTCGTAAACGAAGCCGGAAAAAGCAATCAGCTGTACACACGTTTTCTTGGAATCTAGACTCACCCAATGATATAACTTAACAGGATTTTAATGCAAGGATCGGCAAAAAATGTATCTGAAACTTTTTTTTTTATCAGGAATAATATATTCCAATATCTTGTTATTTTAGTTGCAGCTTTCACTAAATACATTTAAAATAATAACAACCTGAAGCGAAGCATTTCTTTTTTTTCACATGAAACCAGTTTTACCAGTCACCGTTGAGGCTACCGTGCATGTGATCGCATGAACTACGTGTTGACATAGAATCATCAAACTATAACAAATATGACTTTTAACGAGTCAAAGTATGGCATTTATGATATATGGATCCATTCTCTGTCAACTAAAGTTGAGAGCATCAAAACTCATTAGGGCATTTTGGCGTGTATAATGCGCACCCCCTTTCTATATAGCTGTGATTTTTTGGAAAAAAAGTGTGCACTATACTCAAGAAAATATGGTATATCATACAAGGACGGCATGCTTGGTAACCGTCTAGTAAATAAATGAACAAAAACGTGTGTTTGCACAGCAGATCTCAAAACTATTTTTAAAGGGATGCAATTAGGAGGTAAACATACTGTGTTTTCAATGTAGAGCTATTGAAATTGAATTTGGAACCAAATGCACAGCGTGAGGTTTCAAATGTTAAATTTAGCGCGGTTAAATCTACAGTTAACCTGGCTCTACATTGAAAACGCGGTATGTTTATCTCCATTCGACCATGACTAAATAAAACGCGAACTCTTTGGTGTTAGCAAAAATATTGAGAGAAGCGGCTTGGGTTAAATCCAGTGTTTTGAGTGGGTTCTCGATCTGAATTATGGAATCACCGAACAAAATATGGTGCTGTATATACTCAAGCAGTTTGTTACACCGTGATACTTCACTCAAACATATGACAGGCATTGAAAGCATATAAGCACAGCAACTTGGTAAGCTAACATGAGGTGGGCATCCCTAAAGAAAACTAAGCAAGCTTTGCAAGGCTTTCGTTCTACATGGCACCTCACCATTATGTCGTTATATCGCTCATTGTGACGCAAATGATACGATGTCACAGTCGTATATAGAAAAGCGCCAAAATTTCAAGCTCTATGTTGTCTCCAAAATGTAAATACAGTCCCTTTCTAGATTTCTATCGTGTTTTCTGCACGAAATATATTGCCACACATCCTTTGAATATTGTAGTAACCGCATCTGTGAAGTTTGTAAACTATAATTGTAGATATAATTATTTAAATATGCCTACCGACAATGACTGAAAATAGTTCTATTCTATGAATATTAGCTTCCACGGTGATGCGTCCGTCAAACCAGCTGTTTCAATTGGAGGGGGGTTATTGTGATATAATAGCCTCTGATTGACCAATCAGAATCGTGTTAATTCCAAATTCATGGTAGAATTATGTGTATTGATTCCTGGATATTATTAGGTAAGGTAGATAATTTTATTCAGTACAAGTATTTTTATATTTGTGGGGAAAAATTAGTGTCAATGCAGATGAAACTATTGAAAGTGTTACTGTTAAATGTATGCGATTTTCAATCTCGCTGAATGGATGATGATGCGATATCTATGACAACTATGCTAAGAATATCGTGGAATCATGGCTTAGGTCAATTCCTGCCTCTTGATTCAGTTGAAATAATGCAAACAATTACTTGAGAAGCTGTAAGGAGATATAATAGAACTGAATACATAAGTAGTCTTAATATTATCTGCCAGACTGTCAGGCAGATGGAGGAAATTAAACTTTGCTCCCATTAAGTGACACATTTTTATTTAATCACACTGGTGTTTATCTTTTGTTAAGTTCACTGCACAGCTGCAAACTGAGACGAATAATAATATATGTCAGATCATTGAGTTCTGACAGTCACCAAATACACTACCGTGACATAAGTTAAGGGACACTTGAGACACAGCAAGCTGGGCTTGAGACCATCGCATTTGAGTCTAACTTCCGACCAGCGATATATTATGATGTCAAACTTTGCCCACAGATTTATGATTTCACCAAGTATCACGTACCATGTGCTTTGTTGTCGGCTGCTGTTTCTCATGATTTCTGCCATTGACTTTACGATGGTTCATAGAAGGAATGTTCTGTCACCTGACAAAAAAGAAGTTATCACAGACCTGCATTTGAATGGCAAATCCTGCAGAGCTAGATTTCAACAGCTAGGTCTACCCCAGAGCACAGTGCATGGTGTGATTCATTGCTTTAACGATAGAGGAAGTTTGGAAAATCAGCCACGAACTGGGAGACTAAAGATTCCGAGCAACCCTGATAGAGATGTGTTGTGTCAAAGTCAGTAGATGATCATTGCTTACATAAATTTCTAACAACTTTAATGAAAACAGGCCTTCTGTTTCCACAAGAACTGTTCAGGATGAATTATCTTGTATGGATTGTTTACAACACCTTAGAATTCGAGAGGTCAATTTAACAGGAAACAAAAGGAGTTTCGTAATTCCCATCTAAACTTAGAACGACAATTATTGCATTTTGGGACAAGGTAGTGTTCAGTGATGAATCTAGGATAGAAACCAGGACAGACAACTGTATTTATGTGTGGCAAAGGTGGTAGAAGACTGGTACCCAGGATGCCTCAGTCACCCCCTGGCAAACTTCTGAGTATTTGATTTGGGGATCCATAACATTTGAGGGTGTGGGGACATTAACATTCCTGGAAGAGATGGCAAATGCAAAGAAATATCAAGAAGTGTCGAAGGAAAATTTGTGGCCTGTGATTGCTCGACACTTTCCCCAACAGTTCTTTTTTCGTTCAAGATGACAATGCTCCCATTCACTGTGCACATAATAAATTATAAAATCAACAACCAAATTTAGTCACTCACGTGGCCTGCACAGTCTCCAAATATAAACATTATAGAAAACATTTGGCTTCGTATCAAAAGAGTGCAACTGTTCCGAGGGCACACCTAAAACTGTAATGGCACAGTGAATTCCAAACCTGCGTGCCTCTTTGGCACACTTAATTTATTGATGAAAGTGACTGACGAGTATTTCTGTTGATAATCATGATTCGCATGTAAAAATAATTTTTATAAATATGTGCAAAAACATATTGAATTTCCTTCCTGGTAACGATGATCAACATGATTGAACTCTTTCAAACCCCAGAGTCCCCAGACACTGCAGGCCGGTACACCGGCCAAGCTGTAGTCATGTCAAAATAGTATTTAACTTTATGAACCTACCTGTCATATCATTCATTTATTAAATCTGTCATGTTTCACAAGGAAGAGGGACCACACCCTATGGACACAGAACAGCTACAACTATAACTGATCAGTGCACAGCTACTACCAGTTGTGAACAGTTGCTCTTAAATCTTGAGACTATTATAATTTGTATTGCAGTATTAAACAAAGTTTCAAAGGCAACGAGTAACTTGAGTGATGCGTGTGTATAATTTGACAGTCACTTGACTTGTATTTGAATTATGGATAACCATTAAAACAGTTTAGAAGCCAATCATCTAAATACGTTTTGCCAGGGCTATGGTAAAGCAAAATGCCCAATCAGACGTTTTGTACCTATCTCTTGAGACCTACAGTGGGTACCCGGGTAGGGTCGGGTAATAGGGTGGTGGGTGCCAAGGTAGTAAATTCTTAATTTGGCATAACTGTGCCCATTGGCACACTTGAATTTCGATCCCTGGAGTTGAAAACATGTGTTCATAACAGTGTCACTACTGAAGACCTGCAAGAAGATATTTGTGAAATATGGGAATCATTGACTGTTGATTTCATCGAAAACTTATGCATGAGCATTCCATGCATATTCGGTATATATATTTTGTTTATGGCGAGCAAGAACAAATGGAACAAATTACACTTCCAGGTTTGTGACATCAATCCAGTGTCCATTCTGGCATTGTACTGTACATGTGACAGTCGCTTCATTCTTGACAAGCATGCCAAATATGTAAAAATTAGACAAGACACTGCTCATCAATGTAGTGAAATGTCCAGTTCATTAACAGGAGACTGAGAGAATATATAACATTTACATTCAGATTGTGCAAAACCCTTCATTGAAATCTGTACAATCTTCATTGGATGACCTATCTCATTTGAATATTCTGTATGTTGAGCTTCCTGTCATCGTTTTTATGGAAATTTGATCTCATCAAGTGAAAGAAGTTAAGCTTGGAATAAAAGTAAACTTTTGTTATTCAGGAAAAATTTCTTATAACCCATACTCAATCATGGTATTTTCAATCTACAGTCTTGGTGTTGTCGTTTGCTGATTAAGGAGACAGTGTTTTACTTTTTCAAAAGTCAAGTTACTTGGCAATAGTTTCATGATGCATTATAGACCAGGGATCACACTTTCATTCATGCATAATTTCATGATTTACAGTATTTACATTGAGAACAACGGTTTTCCTTCCCTGATATTGCGGTAACACTTATATACATAAAAAACACCTCCTGTCTCAACCATTAATCATTGCCTCTAAATGTAAATAAACATCTTTTTCAGGAGGGTGAAGAATGAGAAGAGGGCTATTTGATAAGCTACCAGAGGTAAGCTAAGGGAGTTATCGTATTGATTTCCTGATATCAGGGACTCTGAAACAAAAGGACATTGTTTTTTCTCAATACAGCAATGATACAGTTCAGAAGAGAGTGTGCTGGTGCAATGTGTTTAAAAAATATAACAGGGAAACGCCATGTGAAGAGCACTGTACTTTCAGAATTTTACATTGTTCAGTCTTGGAAAGGCTTCTACTTGTGGGGTAATACCCTGCCATTAAAGAAATCATTTAGGATGCATAGACAACTAAGGATACAAGGTACCATATATCACCATCTTTAAAGAGACCCCACCTTTAAGGCAACCCCCCTGTAAAAGCCTTCAAAATTGATGCTAATTTATGTACCCCGTCTATGAGGCGAATTGGAATGAAGCACAATAGTCAATACAAAAAAATAAAACATCACTAGACATGATGATTTACCAATTAAATCATATTCTCTGTTCTTCTAGGCATTGTTTTATGTGCAGATACGAAGATTACCGTGTCTAATGTCTTGTAAACTAAGCCTGAAGCAGCAGTTAGCTGTACACATGTTTTCTCAGAATCTACCGGTGATTCGGTTAAAAATTACCCAATAATATAACCTTAAAGAATTTTGATGACTGGAAGAATTGTATCTGTAACTATTATTTTATCAGGAATAATAAATTCCAACAACATTTTATTTTAGTTCCAGTTTTACAATATATTTAAAATGAATTAATAAACATAAACGTACCACTTTGGTACAGCTGATCACTATTACCGATTATTTCTACCGATCACTTCACACACGATTTCACCGAAATTAATGTGAACAATATTGAATGAAATTTTGAATACAAATTCATAAAATAAATTACAAACATAAGTCCAGATATACAATGTACACTTTTTATTACCAGACAGTGTAAGTACATGTTGTGGTGTTGGAGGAAAAGGTATAAAACTCTTCAATCCTGTGTTTTAGGCAACCACCCTTGAAAGCCCTCTAATTTTAGGTATGAAAAACACACCTTATACAAGGTGATATACGGTAGGTAATCTTTGTAAGGTGTAGATTTCAAGTCAAGCTATTAACAGCAATCCATTGCTCTGGTTAACTATGTACCTCATCTATCTTTGCTCCTTAAAAGTAACCACATCGATGTTGGCTCTCATCTTTTTTTTTTAACCTGGCCTACAGTCATCTGCTCACTTTTTTAACAAAATCTGTAAAACAGTAAAAATATTAGTAAGAAAAGTACTCTCTGGCATTGACGTTATATATTTCAATGAATGTTTAACAACAGCAACATCCACCAACTGTTTGAAACTATATATAATCATTATACTTTCAAGATAAAATATTACGAAATAAAACCTATAGAAAATGTTCAATAGTCCTTGACTAAGCATCTGTTGAAGTGAAACTAGTTTATTGAAACAAACATGATCTTTTGCTATGGTTTCTCAGTTTCTAAAATAGCACTCCTTCCCAATTCAACCATACTTCATGTACTGACTAGTTAACGCTTCACTTTGTCTTCATCAAAGTGAGAAGAGAGCTGGCTCACTCTCAGCTACTTTGCTGTGAATAGCTGATATGGCATAAAACAATATTCACTCACTCCCTCACATTTTTCCTGCCAAAGTTCCTTCAGACTGCTTATGATGTTGTTAAGGTAAATAGACATGGGAATTTCTGCTTTAAAGTTATATAGTATTGGGAATGCATTTGTCAATCATTATACTTGGTTATTTAGTAGATGGAGGCACAGTTTTTAGGCATTCAGGTAGGTGAGGTGAGGTGAGGAGGTGAGGGGAGGTGAAATGGAGTTGAACGTCGCATCCAAGATTATTGCAGTTATATGGCAACCCATTCAGGTAGGTGGGTATGAGGCTGATTCTGTTTTTTTTATTGTTTGTTTTTGTATTCCTTTCTAGTTATTTCTTCTTATAATAATTTTAAGAAATGTGTTGCTCCGCTTTTACTTCTAGAAGAATCATTTTCTGAGGTTTCATTTAAAACGGTGAAATAAACAACAAAATATTATTTAATGATGTTTATGGTTTCATTTATAAAAAAATCCCTACAGTAATCTCTGTATTTATAAGTTTAATGGGACAGTTGAAGAAAACAAACTGGAGAAACCGCCTCATTCAACTTCTCTTCTTAAATAAACATTAACAGTTCATTATCAAATCTACCTGTGGAGAATTAGAACAAATGTAAACAGCTTTGAGACAAATTGGTGTAAATTCTTCCTAACTGGTAGATGATTAGCAAGAATTAAACTTATCAAGGCCTGGGGGGCATGCAAATAGTGTTAAGAGCAGCCTGAAGCTTCCCGATGACTAACCCAATGTTTACAAAGCATAGCACTCTTCTAGGGGATAGTTTGCACTGATTAAAGTATTCACACCTGTAGCTCATGAGAAGAAAAGAGTTCAGGTTATAAGATGTGTGGTAGTTGACTAGTTGTCACCAGAATGTTCACCTCTGTCGGTATCAACATTGAGAAAGGCAGTATATATCTCAATCCCCACTTTATATTTTTGAAAAAAAATAAATGTATGGTCTTAACTGGGTTCAAAATTGCATTGATCTTTGACTCTTTATGTTCAGTATGTTGTCATACATGATATCAAGTAAGGCCATTGTAGAGCCAAACCTCTAAAGTTTGTTTCATGGTGTCAATATTGGTAATCTGACAGTGGTTGCTGTAAATAATGGTGAGTTGTGCGATCTACCGATCACTTCACACACAATTTTGCCAAAATTAATGTAAACAATCTTGAATGAAGTTTTGAATAAAATTGATAAAATAGATTAAAAACATACGTCCAGATATACAATGAACACGATTTTATAACCAGAAAGTATGATAATGGGATTGTATCTTTCAGTTTGGATATGTTGACTGGTGTTTCTGGTGTTACATGCTCGTGGTGATCAGCTGATTATGTGAGTGAGTGAGTATGGTTTTACGCCACTTTTAGCAATATTCCAGCAATATCACGGTGGGGGACACCAGAAATGGGCTTCACACTTTGTACCCATGTCGGGAATCGAACCCAGGTCTTCGGCGTGACGAGCGAACGCTTTAACCACGAGGCTACCCGACCGCCCCCTGCTGATAATGTTGTTTTTTTAGATGGGGAAAAACATCGTATCAGTGTAAACCTTGAGTTTTTCAAAAATGTAAGTAATTTTGGGAGCCAATTGTAACCATGCGCTAAAACCAAGGTATTGAAGGACACATCTTACGTTTAATCTTTTTGTTCATACATCCAGCACCGCAGATATGAGGTGGGCGTGACCGAAAGGCAAATGTCTGTTTGGCCAAAAAAATATTTCCAGATCCCTGATTTGAACTTTTTATCTGGATGTATAGTTTAAGCTATTACTACGAGGGTTGATTGATAAGTTTTTGATTTATAAGAATTTGCTTATATAGTGAAATCTTTTGTTGTGGACATTACATGATGTCATAGAAATATATCCTCAAAATGCTGTGAGAATTCAGTAAAACAAGCAGGGTTCTGTGACCGGTGGAATGTGGACAAACTTTATGCCGTGATCATGCACATGCAGAAAAGGGCTTAACACCAAACACCATCCATGAAGATGTGAGTACACCAGGATTCCACTACCTATGACACTGTAAATAGTTGGCAGTAGACCTATAAGGCATGGCATATAAGCCTAGGAAGGCCTGTGACATCAGCAACACCAGAAATGAAGCAGGTAATTCATGATATGATGTTGACCAGTCTCACAAATGACTGAGTTTCAGTTGAGAGTACATTTCATCATCACATAATTTTGGCAATGAAGAAAGTATCAGCTCACTTGGTTCCAAGGCTTCTGACATTGGATAAAAATGCACCACATGACTCGTGATAATTTGACTCTGTTTGATGTTGATCCACAAAGGTTCTTTGACTATAGTTGAAACCTGGATTACCACTTGGAGTCCAAACAATAATATATCAAAATGGAAGCATTAGACTACCACCAAAGAAGGCAAAGACTGTTCCATCAGCTGGAAAGGTTATGGCCTCTGTTTATTCTGTGATGCCAAGGGTGACTATCTTTCAAAAGGCCAGACAAAAGATTGAGCATGTTCTGTTGCACTTTTAGCCAATTACAGGAACTAAGACTTAAACATAAGACTAAGAGATGTGGGAAGATGTGTTCTTCCATCAGGACAATGTGCTAATGAACAAAACATTCATTGCCATGGCTACAGTCCTCGTGTGAGACTTGGAACTCTTTCAGCAGACCCCTTATTCTTCTTATCTGGCTCCGTCAAACTTCCATCTTTTCCCAAACAGTAAGAAAGCTGTTCACCTGTGGAGAACTTTTGAGACAGCCAAGAGAACTTCTGTGGAACTGAGATAAAATACCTCTTACAATGTTAACAATAGTTCATGAATGTGGAAGCAGATTATGTTGGAAATTAGATATTTTTAATGTCTTTGGGTCAAGTCTTTCTATATGAGGCTCAGAATTTCTCAATCACCTGTCCTGTTAGGTATTTTCAGCATTTTGTTGTCAAATATAAAAACTCCACTCATTATATCTAAACTATGGGTATCTTGACGTAATTTTTGATGGCACCCAGAACTTTAAATTGACAAGGAGGTTTCAAAATGTACAGGTTTCAACGTATTTCAAACTGTCAGTGTAAGTGAATTAGGGAAGGCAGGAGATGTGTAGAGTAAGGCTTCAGAAAGTGTACCAAAGTAGGAAATTGACAGCAGGCCTTTAATTATGCATGAGCAGCAAGAATGTGCACTAACCAAGGGGCTTTCAGACCTCCCTATTGTGACTGACGTTACAGGTTAGCTTGCAGCATGGTTTCCTTTATCTGTCAGGTACAACTTCAGTCAGATCAAACTCCCATACACTTAACATATAGTCCTTTGTTGAGATTCAAACCTTGGGAGCTTTTATTGGTGAGCCTGCTGTTTTTGTCTCCTCCTCTAAAGAAGCTTAGCTATCAGCAAGCACATTTGCCA